TGAGAATTGGTCCATATTTATTTTACACAGAAATTTATTACTCAATTCAAAACAACAGAAAAAAATGATAGGTCACCATACTTGTTTGCGAGAAAATGATGATTTACCTCTATGGCGAGATCCAGCTGTAAAGAAAAAGCCGCCAGTTTTTAACGCGCGCACGCTAATCCGCGTTAAATTATGCGCAGTAGGGATGCGCAATGCAATACTGGGGAATAACCTTAAAAAGCTTAAATTACAATTAAAAGTAAACTTACAATAATAAAAACAACTATGATAAAAATGCATGATGGAAAAGGTGAGTTTTTAGCTTGGTTTTAAAAGTACTAACAGTGCTGGTGCTTCTTATGTCAAATTGTAGCGCATACCAAAGTTTCGGTGCAGCACAGGTAAAAGAATGGTCACCTAGTGTAGCTTTTGATTTAATACATGGATAATTAAGTAAAAGTTTATCGCTAGAATTCCTTAGATTATATTTGGATGGGAGCCTAAGAGAAATAAGAGATGATAAATAAGTAGGCGCTAAAAAATTAAGAATCTTAAAAGTAATTAACAGTATGTTAAACTCGATTCTGTATCTAATCGGTAACCAGTGTAATTCATAAATAAGAGGCGTTACATGGCAAAATTTCTGTTCTTTAAAAATTAGTCTGGCACAGGCATTCTGTACTTGTTGCAGTTTATTTAACAAGCAATCAGGTAATCCATATAAAAGACCATTGCAGTAGTCAAGGCAACTTGTTATGAATGCATGGACAAGAGTCTCAGTTGACTGCTGTGAAAGGTACTGTCTCATCCGATTAATATTATAGATATAGTAAAATGAAGAGGCACAGATTTTTGTGATGTGTGTTGCTATGGACAGCCTAGAATCAAACCAAGAACCAAGATTTCTCGTGATTAGCTTGGGATGAATATCTGAGTCACCCACATGAATACTGATATTGTCTAGCTTTTCCAGCTTTTGTGATGTACCAATAATGAGGAATTCAGTCTTGTCGTTATTTAATTTAAGATCATTATTCAACATCCAAAACTGAATGTCTCTGGTGCAGTCTTCCATATTCCTCACCACAGCAAGTTGCTCAGCTCTGTCATTCGGACTAAATGAGATGTAAACTTGTGAATCATCAGCATAACAGTGAATCAAGGGCAGATGATATTTAATGATCTCAAAAAGCTTACTCGTATACAACGTGAACAATAGCGGACCCAGACAGGAACCTTGAGGCACACCGCATTCTAAGTTAAAAGGTTCAGATAGTGACTGGTTAATCATTATCCGCTGACTTCTTCCAGACAAATAGGACACAAACCAGGAGAGAGCTTTTCCCTATATTCCATATGAGTACTCAAGTTGACGTAGTATCATGATCAACTGTATCAAAGGCAGCACTCAAGTCAAGCAGAATTAGCAAAGTAACACGTTGATTGTTCATGTTAAGGAGAATGTCATTCATAACTTTAAGCAGTGCAGTTTCTGTGTTGTGGTTCTGTCGACAGGCTGATTGGAACACTGGGAACAGATTGTTACAATTTAAATAATGTTGTAGTTGCTTGGAAACAACAGTCTCAACTAACTTTGAGATAAATGCCAAATTGCTCACTGGTCTGAAGTTCTTAAAGACAGGGGGTAATCCATCCTTTTTGAGCTGTGGCTGCACTAGAGCACACTTCCAGGTGCGCAGAAAATCACCAGAATACAAACTGGATTAGGATTTACGTTACACTACTTGAATGCAAAAAACCTAACTCGATAGAATGTGAATCTATATTGTTCATTACAAACCACATACCTTATCTTTGAGGCCTTTCAAATTCTTTTAATTTTCCAGCTGCTTCATTGATTTTTACAAGTGCAAAGTTGTTTCATCAAGTGATATGAGACAGAGCAAAACATAAAGCTTTGCATTGCTTCACGTCTTTAATGGCGGTTGACATGAAACTTTGAATTAACTTCATGTAAGTAGTTGCAAAATGTTCACATTATTTTTGTGATGTCATGCAGCATGAAACAAAACAAAAAATGTAAACTCTTGAGAGTGCACAATACAGACTGGAAATCATTTTTAAAGAAAACCTCGGTGAACTATACACCTGTATATCATTGCAAACCTAATAAACTGTGGAATTGAAATTAACAATATATTTTGCCATTTGTAACCTTACACAGGAAAACGTACACTACGCCTTATCCGTTAAATGGATAAAAGCGTTTATCATCTGTTTGTTATCCATTTGTAATCCATTTAAACGTTCCATGAAAACCATTTCAAGCGTTAGGTGAAGCATTTAACATTACGATCAAACCGTTTGAACGGCTTTTGCAACCGTTCATAAATTTTCTGGATCCGTTAAAAGGGAAAGAGGTATCCGTTAAGACCATCTAAGCAGCTGTTAAAACAGCAAAAGCAATCCGTTCGAGAAATCTAAGCATCCGTTAAAACGGCAAAAGCAATCTGTTAAAAAATCCAAGCATCCGTTAAATGGAAAAAGCAATCCGTAAAGAAATCTCTGAATTCGTTTTAATGGGAAGCCTATCTGGTATCCGTTTAGAAAGTGTTGGAACCATTACAAAAAATATTAATGTTTTCACAAACATTTTTAGCTTACTGTTAAAATGACCAAAGACAACATTACCCAGAAGCTACAGAGTTCGGAAGACAGACAGAATGGAATGGTAAAACGATTTTTCGAACCGAACAGAAAGCTGTGGTATGCTTGTAAATAAATCAAGTTGGCGTCTTGTTTGCGAACACTCGATTTACAACTTTCTTATGTTTTTAAAGTTAGTTTGCCTAGTACATATTTTTATTTCCTTCTTTTATCAAAATAAAAACATCGAAATGACAGTGCTGGTCAAATGAGAACAAGAACACCTGTGTTTGGGTCATGTGAATTGATGTAAAACTATGGTATGTGCTTTGCCACTTTGTTTACATTTGTTTAATTATATTATTGTAACGAACATACCTTTCTGTTTATCAGTCCCCTGCGTTCTATTTGGTGTTAAATCGTACTGAGGTCGTGGACAGTATATTCCTAGCTTGAAATTGGCATCAATCGTTGTCTGAATCGTCGTCCTAGGACTGACATTTTAGCTAGGAGCAAACTTTCCCAACCCGTCCAGGAAAAGTTTTTCACTCGCGTCACATGTGAATTGCACATAACAATTCGTGATATTGTGGCATGAATGTGTTTCTGCTCTTGAACAAACCGCTCGTCTACTGTTTGTGTAGTATTTGTATTGATAGTAAATCGTGTTTCCTTAAAATAATTTGCGACTGGAGATTACTTTGTTTATATCTGCGGAATTTGGTTGGAAATGTTTCTGGATTGGCATTGCATACAATGACTTTGATTAAACAAACATGGACAGAATTGTGTTTTTGTTTTCTTGACAATTCGACATAGATACAATTTCCAACCGTAAGTAGTTCTTTTCTTGCTTTGAATTATGTTATCTATATCCAGTTTACTAATGACTCATTAGAATCGTTCTTATTGCTTAAAAGAGCTTATGGTTTGATATAATTTTGGCTATTTTGCTGACCGCATGCTAAGTCAGTGACCCTTCAATCAAAAAGTTGAGTGTTTGAATTAAAAGTTTGCCCAACTGTTCAAATTCTTGAGGTCATCCATTTGAACACATGAGCTAACCGTTTAAATGCTTCATGTCTTCTGTTCCAAAATTTTTGCTAGCCGTTTTAACGCTTAAAGTTATCCCTTCGAAATTTTTGCCAGTTGTTTTAACACTTCCAGTCATCTGTTTGAAAATTTTCGCTAACCGTTCGAACGCTTTGCCAAGCTGTTTTCCGAGATGTAGTAACTGTTAAAACATTTCTAGGAAAGGTTACAGGCGTTAACTATCCATTCATTTTAGCCTGTTTAATGGATAGGGGCTAATGCACGTTTACCTGTGTAAGGTCACATTTTTTAATTCCGCTCATTTGTTCCCATCGAACTAATACCAGTGAGAACTGTATGAGAACTGTTGGATTCTTCAGACCGTTTAGTCAGTTTGAGATAATGACCTTCAGCTTGCAGGTTACAGCTGATATTGCAGAGTGTTTTAGTCTTTGTAGTATGTGCCTCAGCCGAGGAGATTCATCCACAGAAAAGCCAAAACAGTTTTCGGAATTGCTTAGTATTAATTTTCTTAATAAATATGATGTACTCTTAGGAGGTTTGAATGAGTCTCTCTGTCAAACACTCTCAAGAGGATTGAATAAGGGTTTCTGTAGAAAATCTGTTAAGATTTTTTGTGGCTGCTGGGATTAATTTATACATTAGTATATATTCATTTGAAATTTTTCATTTTTATTTTATCGAAAAATAATAGATGCAAATTGAAAGAGCACCTCAAACTAGGTGATATGGCTGGGTTTCAGCATGAAATGTTGCAAAGAAGTGAAGGGGGCATTGATTGAATTAGAACTCTCACATGACTAGATAGAAAATTTCTTTTGCTTTTGTAAAAAATCTGTCAACCAAATCCATACCCCCTGCCAATGTTGTTACAAAGCTATTGTGGCTCAACAAAATAATTACATGTACCAGTAGGCTTCCTTTTTTTAACAAAAACTTGAATGTAGACTCTGGAAGAGGCAATCCATCATCATTTGACTTCCATTTTATGCTTTTTACTCTACAGGACCAATGCTTCTGTTTGAAAGATTTTACAGAGATGAACGGGTACCTCAGAGATTCTATGCATGCTCAGCAGCCAGAGGTAGGAAAGACTGCTCATTTTTTCAGTGGGAAGGAGAAAAAGTCTCTGATGTCAGAAAAAAGGTTCACAAGGAAATGGTTAAAGCATCAAGAGAGCCATACTTAGAAGCCTGTGAGAGATACAAGAACATTATTCATGTGTCAGATGATTTTCTTAAGGAACAGTGCTTGTTTTGTCATTCCTGTGGCCTGTTGTTTCTGCCTAAAGAAATAGAAAAACATTTATCACATGATTATGAACAAGCTGGGGATTTGTCCAAACCAACAGCAATTATGAGACCAAGAGAAAATGAAAAGACACAAGCAGTAAGTCCATTCATGTTTTTTGTACTAACTTTATTTGCAGTCTAAAGAGAATTGGCACACAACGCCATACATAGATTCATGCAAAAACACATGTTGGTCAACAACAAGTAAGCATGTGTGAGTTTCAAGAGCATTGTCCGAAATTTTGTCTCGCCTAAAATTCAAAATGTAGAATGCATGCACATGTTGCTCAGATGTAAAACTTGTTCTGCCTTTCACATTATTTTTGAGAATTACTTTTATTTACATAATAATTATTATTCCTATATGCACGTTACATTTTTCCACACATCAAGACATTTTGAATTTTGAAGCAAATTCTTTCCTGTAGTGCTCTCAGCGAAAATAAACCCATTATAAATTTTTGAGTATTATGGAAATTCTCGAGAAGAGAAGGTTTTGGACAAAAGCTTGGCTTAATTCAGTTTAAGTGAAACAAACAATGCAAGCTTTGAAAACAAACATTATGTTACCGCATTGTGGGAAATGAAAGAAGCTAACAAACTTAGAAAACACTTTTACAGAGAGGCTAAGACATTTTTTCCCTCAGGTAAGGAATGATCATTTGCCTCAGAAAACATATTTAAAGAAAGCAGAGTAAAGTGGTATTTAGTCGTCTCATCGCAACATAAACTCATTCCACTGCAGTAATTTGCATATTTATGGGAAGAAAATATTCATTGTTCATATTGTTTAAAATGCTTGATGAAGGTAGATGTTTCCTCGAAAAGCGGTTAAGCCGAGGAAAATCTTATTTAAAAACCACAATTTGGCCTATAGTGGTAGTTATTTTTATTTCTAAAGGTTTACAGTTCTTATATATTAATTTTAATTGTGACTGCCGTTATCTTTTTTTACGATCAAAATGGCAAATATTTGACAAAATTGTGGAACTCTGTAGGGTGTGTAGTAGACTAGAGTGCCCACAAATTATTTTATTCTTTAAGTTTTTACATCAATTTGCTTTTGAGTTATCATAGACTCAATTCTAAATCAGGTCCTATGTAGACTACATTTGAGAAAATAGCTTTTAACTCTAGGTATGTCATGCTTTGCACATTCCAGAGTTTGGCAGGGGGCATTTTAGAAAATTGATAACTCCATCAAATTTTGACAGAATGCAATTGTTTAAACCTTTAAAATATTGAGGAAAGGTGAAACTTTTGCATGTAAAATGTTCCACTTGCTGGGATAAAAAACTGTGTTTTGGCAGCATCCGCCATTTATAACAAAATATCAGCATCTCCCAAGGCAAATTAGCCTGTTTTGAGGTCACCTTGAAAACTGTCTGGCAAAAAATGAAAAAAAGTTGTATTGATCCAAATAAATGTGATATTTGTACTTTGGCTTAGTCCAGAAAAAATTTGGGTGGAATAATGGAAGAATTTTTGACTGTGGGGTAAAAAGCTTTTTGAAAAACTGTGCCCATGAGTGACACAAAGTTCCCACAATTTGTAAATTGCAAACTCTAAAAATCGTGACTCAACTCTTAAAATGTTGTTTATTCTCGGGTTATGTTATTGTTCACACTATTGATGTCATTCCTATAATTTTTTGTAAAACAACTATATTTCCTTGAAATACAAATGGTTTGTTTCGTTTTATTCCAGTGCAAAATATCATATTCCCAACTCACATCCTGTAAAAGTATAGACTTGTCTCAAAAATGGAAATTGTTTGAATTCATCATATGTTTAATTTTTTTTAGTGGTTTTAGTTTCTGTGTTTCGATTCATACGTTCGTCCTATTGTTACCATGCTGACTTGTCTTATGACAGTGTACCTTTGATGCAGGTGAATAGCTCTTATTGCAGTTGAGCCTGCGGTCAAATGTTCCTTTGTTTAAAAAGGCGTACAAACGAGGCGAATGGGTCAATACAAAGCAAAATCGACCCTTTCGCCTTGTTTGTATGTCAAACCGCTGATAACTTCAATAACAGCTATATACAAAATATCATTTATCTCAACTGTGGAGAAAGATATGAAGACATGATTGATCATGGCAATTATACGCGCAACTTAAGCAGTTGTGAAATTAAAGCTTGAAAAAAAATTCAGGCCTGAACAGGACTCGAACAAATGACCTCTGTGATAACGGTGCAGAGCTCTACCAACTGAGCTATCAAGCCAACTGGGAGCTGGTCACATTGTGAGTTTGTAATATACCCGTACATGGTGAAGAGTGCAAGTAAATATATGAAATATCATATAGTTGAACTGCGGAGAAAGATATGAAGACATGATTGATCATCGCAATCAAAACCCAGCAGCCTGAAAAAAATTTATCTGTGACCAGCTCCCAGTCATTTTTTGAAGACATTAATCTATAAGAGTTTTCTCCAGAGTCAGAGCAATAAGATTTTCTAAGTGTTGAAACATCGTGATTTTATAGTTACCCAATCTCAAAAATTTCCTCAACTACAAAGCTAAAATAATACTTGGAGTCGATTGACATTGCTAAACAAAGATCTACTGTTCTAAGAAGAATTAAAATGAGTTATTCTTGACTGGAGAATTTCTATGATAATTCAGACTGCAGGGTATCTACTTTTTCAAAACACTTCCCAGCTGCTGGGTGTCTAGACACAGTGTTATTAATATTTCTTTGGTTCAAAGTTTCTTTCTATTTCAGAACTCTATTCACAAAGTGTGCTCGTGGCTTGATTTGAGCTCCTTTGGCTCTGTCAACACATTGGTTGCAATTGACAGTGAAAGAGCGCTTTCGCTCGAATACACAACACACAAGTTGGTTCCAGAAAACATGTTTTTCCCACATGCATTGAAAATTAGAGAGGCTATGAACAGTCTAGAATGAAGTGTTGTTGTATGGTCCATGCCCAGTGAGTATACAGTTTTAACTGTATTTTAATGGCTGGCCAGCTTACCATACTATGCAGACTTTGACACAGACAAGTTTCTTATCATACATTTCTCTCAGGTTGGCTAATTACATTATGCAAACAAAGCTGACAAAAGGTCGTGCAGTATTCAAAAACGAAATGGCCAAAAACAGTGAGGCTGGGGGCATTTTTTCACGTGCCCCTGCCTCTATATGTAGCACTAAGATATTCTCAGATTTTATAATTCATATTCTTTTTATATTTTATATTTCTCAATATGTTGTTATTTTTATCCAGGTAATTTTTTTTTGAGGACCCTTCTGTAAACCATTCTACTGTGATGTTGGTATCCTCATTGAAGATTACTACTAACTAACTAACTTGTGTTTGCTGCTCTACTGCTGAAACAAAGAAATTTACCACGTAAACACCAGGGCTAGGCCTTGCACTAGGTGATGTACCATGCTAAATATTAATCTTTCTGGATCAAAATGATCTTGTTTGTCTCTATTGCAGCAATACTTATTTTCGAGGAAGGCAACAGAGTTCCTGGTTTCCCTATTGAAAGATTTAGGTTTCAAGAATGTGCTTTGTTTGGGAACACCAAGGTACATTATGAACCTTGTGTTAATTACACTTACTTTAGTGACAGTACCACTAAGTACTAACAGTGCTTCTTTTCAGGAAATAATCAATAATTAATTTTTGTAGTCTGTACATTGAAAGCTTAGGGCCCAAATCTGTAACTACATGTACAGTTGAACCTGTGTAATATACTGGCCACCCTCGGGACTTGACTGGAACTGGCTGCTTAATACAGGATCACTAAAATACTCACTGGACGTGGTCTAATGTCAATTTTAATGACGGATCTACAAAAACACTTCGTGGAAGGAAACAATAGGACAATCAACGCTCTTTCAAGGGATCAATACTTAAAACAAAGCTTAGTGCCAACTTGTAACTCAGTGGTATAATATTAAACCAAAACTGCTTTGAAACCATATTCTCACCCTCATGAAATGATGGATGATTATGAAGTAGTTGGACATGTCCCTAACTTGATGGCATTGTGGCTAACCAAATTTTTGAAATGGCCAACAAACAATGGGAAAGTTACATGTACAGTAAAGGGTAAGTGAGTTAACAGCGGTGGTGGTTATGGCCTGGAAATCCCTTTTGAGTATATGTTTGAAAGCGATTCATTCTCCATCACATGGCTGAAGAACAAGCTAATTACACCAGCTTTCAATGTTACATGTATGTGCATAGGTGACATCTTTTGACAGGCCTACGTCAAAAATGTAAGCACAACAGACTTCTTTACGGTCAAACTTGACTTTTAGTCATGAAAGATGGATTTATTTGACATCAGAATAAGGCTATCAACTGTTTTGAATGTGTACATCTTTGGAATATTAAAAGCGGTAGTGGCCCAATTCTACCAGAGGTCGCTGTTGAGAGTCCATTGACTATGCTCAAATCCTTTGATTTATCTTGTAAATAGGCCCTTTGCATGATCCAGTCACGTGGTACAGAATTAATTATACTGGGACGCAAGTTGCACAGTGGGACTTCCAAAACAAAGGAACTCGTACCAGTCCAGCCCGACTTTCCTTTGTTTTGAAAGTCCCACTGTGTAACTTGCGACTCAGCATAATTAATTCCGTACCGTGTGACAGGATCATGCAAAGGGCCTATTGGGAAACATGCGAGGTCCACAATCTTCTACAGCCATATTAGGTCGGTAATTATCATTTTTTTCCTGTCATTTCTTCCACTGATAACCAGACAAATGGCCAGTTTCACAGTCAAACGGCCCTTCAACTGTTTACATAGCATATCAAGAGATGGCATGTCAAAAGATGGTCAAAAGATGTCACCTATGCACATAACACTGAAAGTGGGTGTAAAAAGGAATTTCTAGCTAAAGAGTGAAGCATAATTATTCAAAACAAACACTTTTCACATTTGTGATGTGGTACTGTACTTCAGCACATTGCAGACATCTGGAAAGTGTTAATGATACTAAATGGCTGATTATCAGCTTACTGTAGCTTTGTACATGTCATTTCTTTATAGTAATGATGGATTGCATTTTAAACACAATATAATACCACGTAAAATGACATGTGCCTTAGTGTCTGTTCAGGGTTGTCCGCTTAATATAGGTCAAAATAACAAAGAAAGACAAACAGGACTGTTACAGGGTTTCTGGCCGCTTAATAGAGGTGTCCACCTAATACAGGTAACAAATACAGTGTTTGTATGAGCAAAAAATTGGGACTTTCAAAACTAGCTGCTTAATAGAGGGTGGCCGCTTAATACAGGGCCATTATACATAGGTTTGACTGTGTATATTTCCAATCAGAAGTCTGTGATATCATAAATTTCCCAGATTCAATAACATTATTTTGCTGGCATATATACACAGATCATGACTGCTAATTTTACCTGCCAAAAGCCTGTGCTCCAATTGAAAGTGTGGAGTCTTTTTCCTAGGGCACTACTGTATAATCTTGAATGCTAGGTTAGGTTTGAGACCTCAATAAATTGACTGTGAAAATTATGTCATGGGTTGCACACACGTGTCCTCTGTAGCTCATTGGTTGGAAGCCAGGAGGTAAGGAGGGAGAGTGGAGTTCAACTCCTTTTAGGGACTCCCTTGCCTGCTCCCATGTCCCATGTCCTCTGACTATTGTCACTGAATACAGTTGGAATAGACTGGATTTCTGCTTAATGGTGGAACTTCAGTAGAATTAATCTCCAGCAACCACTTAGAAAGCTTGAACACAAAATATATCAAGATTTACTAAAACTGGCTGGTCACTGTTGGCTTTACAAGTTCCTTACAAACAATAACATGCGTGGCTACAAAACGGACAATTCAGTTTCAGGAGACCAGACTTTTACAGTGCTGTAATACCCTTGTAATCAGTTGACAAACACTTTTCATGTTGCTGTGAAGATGACTTCAACTCATGATCAAGTGTTCAGTCAAAAGCAACTATATATTTTTTCACAATTACCCTCAATAGGACAGTCACACTACATACAAACTAATCAATGCAGTTAATTAATACTGCAGTATGACTGAATGTTGTACATTTTATGTTAGTACCATATTTACACTTAGGACCATACTTGAGGCTTTCAACATTAAAATCCTAGCAATATGTACGACATAATAAAATTATGTAGTAATAATATGTACCTACTTAATGACCTTTCTCGCAACTTGTTTCTTGTAGCTCAGTGGGTTAGTGCATGTATCCAACCGGTCATGAGTTGTTAGTCGAAGAGCACGACTAGTCAAAAATTGAATATTGCAGTCACTACTGTGGACTAAGCTGCTACTTGATAACAGTTCACGTTAATTTTGTTGCTATTTAACCCTTTACCCCCTAAGAGTGCAAATTGGCACACAAGGTCATAACTTAATGTGAATATTTGATAGATTCCTATGAATTTTTGCCAGGAAAATTGTCTTGTGAAGATCTTTTGAAGATTTTTGAAGTCGTTCATTTTCCCATTTTAAAGCAATTTCTCTCAAAATGTCTACCTCCTTCATAGCTGCTGATGTCAATTCTTAAATAAGCTGATTATTGGCTTTCAAATGGCATATTGTACACAGGCAGTGTCTTTATTTGCCGATTTGGGAAAAACTGCCATTTGCCTTAGGGGGTAAAGGGTTAAAAATTGCTGTTATTTGTTGTCATTTAATTGATTGGAAACTTGAAAGAGAAGAAATTACTTGGTGCTGTAGCATAGGGTCAGTGGAAGTTTCTGGTGCATATTGCATGGGGCAAGTAAGGAGGGATACAGGTAGGAGCAGTCAATGCCTGCTCATTTGTTGTTCTTTGGAGCTAAATGTGCAGTGTCTTTAGAGACCATTCTCATATGTTTTTTTAAGAAGTTGTCAAGTTCCAATTTGTCCTCTTTTTACAGGCTTCATGAAGAGATCCAAACGAGCAGGAAAGCATGTGGGTCTCTAGACAGTCTTCTTCTTGACATCGACTTCAGATATGTATGAGTTTTGGCTGTTCATCATTTTCACATGTTTCAGCACTTTTACTTTGATAGAGTAATACTGCCACTCTTTTCAGTTGCCTCTGAAGTAATGGTGTCAAGCAAATGCCCTAACATTGGTGAATAAGTCATTTTTCAGTCATTATAAGTTACCATAGCAGTGGTATAAGCTGATGAAACACCCTTAATTTTAGCTTTAAGTGAACCTTCCAAGTTGCAACCATCTTAGTTGCCTGGTGACTAGAATTCTGGAGTTGGTGACTAAAGCCTGGTGACTAAAATCAACATGATAAAATTGAGAGCTTCAAGGGACTATCATTTGGACTGAAGCAAAAAAAGGCAAGGCTGTGTTGTGTGTTTTCCGCAACAATATTGGCCAACATTATCTACATGTTCTGTAATGTGATCAAAACAGAAAAACCTTACCTTGCTTGACGGGTGATAAATAATGCCTGTGGATATGTGACCATACCTGACAGATGACAAAGTATTCAGAATTATATTCCATCAAATGTTTACACTCGGGCATGATTGGCCTAAACACGTCACATGACCAAATATTCCCCAGCTAAAACTGGGGAGAATATTCCAAAATTTTCAAAACTGCATGTGTTGAGAAAAATATTTGAAGGATAATAAACACAATAGCCTCCATTTGATGCAAAAATATGCACAGATATTATTTTGTCCTTGGACATTATCTGTTCCTTGAAGCTCACAGTTTTCTCTGAGCTACACTCTCGCAAAACTGTTCACTTCTCAGGACAGATTATGTCCGCAGACAAATATTGGTACATATTTTTGCACCAAATGGAAGCTAATGTTTATTTATTTGCGGCAATAATAATATTATTATAATTATAGTTATTCTAAAAATATTGGAGCGATATGTGTCCCTGATTTAAAAATTTTAAAAAAGGAGTTTAAAACTGAAGATCTAAAAAATATTAAAACTACACTTTCGACTGCCTTCTGTGGTCTTCTGTTTCATTTTGATAGGGTCAATTTTATCCAACATCCAAATTCTGCTGGTACAACATGTTTAACCATTTCTTCTTTGGAAACCAATCCAGTGCAGAGGTATTCAACTCGTTTATGAAGAGGGAGGGGTTAGTTATAGTGATGGACCCGCCATTTGGTGGTTTGGCTGAAGTTCTGTCAGCCTCTGTGAGGAAGATTTGGGCTGTCTGGAGGCAGTCTCATTTCCAGGGTAAATGTTATCAGTAATTTATTCAATGTTATTCATGTTGTTAATGATGGAAAGCCATAATTACACTCTGTGCCTGTGCTGCTTGTTTCAATTTAAATCAGTTTGTACACAAGACAAAATTTCCCAGTGAGCAGCTCGTGTGTAAATAATTGTTGATAGACATACATGTATTTCCTATACACCACTGAAGGTTTCTTAATAAATTTGTTTTGGTTTTAAATGGTACCTTTCAATTATGTATTCAGTACAGTTCTAATCAGTTGTTTACTGGTATAACAAATAGCCTATAATAGTTTGGACAGTGAAATTGGAGTGTTTGTCATTTGTCAACACTTGATTCTGTTTCTCTAGGGTGTTGAATAGAATGCTGTGGCAACCATAAGTATAAACATTGATTGTCATATACATGTGTGTTAAACAAATCAGTGTTTTGGTTATATCTTTATTTTTAGATGGAACAGACAAGGAATTGCCAACTGTGTGGATATTTCCGTACTTCATGGAGCCTCATCTGAAAGCTGCCCTGCCATCATTAACCATGCTGGATTACAAGGTATTAAACTTAAATTGTATTTGATAGAGTGTTCTTGAACTAATATAAGATAAGATAATTTATTTAATGTCAAAACATTCAAATGTCATGTAAGGGAGGCAATTTAGATCCGATTACAAAAGCCCTCTTTGAACACAGACAATGGCTTTGAATTAGCCAACATCTAAGACACTATTTTAACCCCCTTGAGACCATAATGAACATCATGTAACCCTTCTTAACAGTCAAATTCCTTCAGTAGCTTGTTGGCATGGTAACAGCAACCTGAATAAGTATATAAGTATTTCTCAGAAAAATTCTAATCAATTTAGGGACGGACAGTTATTTTTTTGAAAGGAAGGGGGTGGGGGAGGGGCAATTTCAAGGGGCATGAAAATTTTGATAGTAGCACTAGCTTGATTTTTTTTTTGCCATGGCTCAGTTTTAGCAGGAATGTTTTTGAGACTGGCTAAACCCCCATAATATTAATAATAAGAATAATGGTCCTTCTCTTGCAGAATTCCTTGTGTGAATGGACTTGTTTTCAGTCAGTGGGTCGTTTTTATAACTATTCCTTGAACTTTGTTGCCTTTTAAGGTCATTCCTCACATTTGCATCGCACATCCTTACTGCACATAATTTATCGTGTCATAAGCGTGTGCTCGTGCACGCTCATGTTGAAAACATGACGGATTTGCCTTGATATTGAGCTCTGTCAGTTGAAAAATGGCTTTAGCTCACCAACGAGCACGGGCACCCCAATTTTTTTTCAGTCATTGTAATCAACTAGTCATAAGATTTGTGTGAGAAAAGACTGATCTAATTTCTATTGCTGAAAATTGAATAAATAAGAAAAATAGCAGATACACTGTGGTCTTTTCTATTTTGCAGTGACCGGTAACCACATCAAGAAATTTGGTTCAAATTTTTAATCAAGGATTTAGCTTTCTGTCTGAACCAAACTTAAAGTGTTTGTTTGTGTCCGACACAATGTAGTGACTGTAGTTT